AAGAGCGTCAATCAGAGAATTAGCTGTTGTGTTCCTTCCATCATTCTGGGCAGCTGATCACATTTCTTTCTTTCCCTCAAATCTCAATTTATTAGCAAGATGCGTTAGGGTGGGTGGGCACATCATCTGCCATTTGGGCTTCTCTGACCCCTGAAAGAAAGACTAGCTACTGAATGGAGATAAAACCGTGAAAGTTCTTATCTCAGACATGCCCTGTGGTAACCAATTGCTCTAAAAATGTCCCTCCCCTCCCCTGCCACCCCGGGCGGTGCAGTTTGCAGCAAGGGCAGCCTGCCCGCCCCTGACCTGCCTCCTTCTTTGCTAACAGTGTTTCTCTTTTTCTTTTTGTGTTGTAGATTCCTAAAGGTGTTTGTGGAGCCAGAGCCTCGGGGAGCCTTCCCAGGAGAAACCCTTCGGTCTGCTTGTCTCCACAGGCCCGGCGCCCGCGCCCTCAGACTGCTCCCGGGCTGCGCCGGAGTGTGGCCCTCGGAACCTCAGCCTGAAGTTACATCCCCACACTGTGCAGCTGCTTGCCTTTTCTTTTTTTCTTTTTATAGCATGCTCCTCGTGGCCCAGCTCCTCCCATGGCCCAGTCTGGCCGCCTCTTTGGGGGCAGGTCCATCCCCGTCCGGTCCCCACCCCCCGCAGGGCCATGGAAGGTGGCTAGACCCGCGCCCCCTCCTTCGTGGGCTCTCAGTCCGCCGGGCGCATCCTGGCCCGTCCACGGTTCACACTGTGCCTTTTGTGAAAACTTTGCCACTGGTGTCCTGGGGAGACCAACAGAATCTGGACAAGGAGGGTCAGTGCGCCAGGTGGATTGAGTGCCCGGAGGTCACTGGTGTGTTCCCATGTCGTTCATGTTAGAAAGGACTCATCTTTTCCCAAGCCCACTGAGTATGCCGTGGTCCTTTTCTGATTATGGGTCCTCACCTCGTGCTAAACATTGGCCTTTGCCACATTTCACGCTGGAGAGTGTCCATGGTGGGCACTGGGGAACACACACGTGCACGCACCTGCATGCGCACACACATACACACATGCACACACACATGTTTGTTAGGGGCCTTGTCTTCAGTGGAAGTCAGATGCCAGCTCGTGGGCCAGCCCTGCCGTCTTGACTGTGGCCACCGTTCATGGGGTCAAGGAAGGCCCCAGCCCACCTTCTCCCGCTGATTCCCCGTTAATGAGAACTGCAGATCGTGGTGCTTTGTGAACGAGCGTCCTCCCTCTGCGTTAGCTCCTTCCAAAGTGAAAATCCCCCTCTTGCCGTGAATTCCAAGATTTGCATCTTAGGATTTTAGTGCTTTTGTCACCAAAGACCCTGCGCTTGTCCTTCAAGTGACCCTGTAGCTACAGCTTCTGCTTTTTGTCACATGCTCTTCAGGCCACGCGGAACTAATTGAGTTTGCTTTTTGAGCTAAGTTTCCTTCCTGTTACGGATCTTTGAGGAAAATGTGAGGTCGTGTAGCCTGTGGCCACTTATGCCTTAGAGCAGCCTAGCTTCTCTTATTTGGTGCAGAAACAGTCAAGAGAAATCGCTGGCTGTGAGTTTCCGTGAACGAGAACGCCATCAGAAGCCCAAGGATGAGATCGAGCATCTTTCTTCTCTTGTTTGGCTTTTGGTAACTAGGTGGTCACCTCGATCATCCTCAATTCTTCTCGACATTTATGAATCCAAGACAAGGAAGTCTTACAGGAGCTAAAGGGACCAGGACAGAAATGACAGGTCCTAAGGGTTGGGCCTTCGTTCCGTGAGAAAATGGTTGCTCAAGCAGACCAGATGGACCACACACCACCTCCGGGAGCAGCTCGGTGACTAGACACCAAGCAAACGCTGAGGGGAAGGAGGGGAAGAGGAAGTGGCTTCAGGTTTAAAGCAGGCGAGCCAGTGAGCACGAGCCCTCTGTCACTCTTTCTTCCCGAGCGAGGCTAGAACAGGGACTGAAAGCGACCTGCTCTGCAGCCGTGGGCGCCCCGCGGCTGCTACATCAGCAGCGGCTTCCGTTCCCCCTGCGGGCGGCCCAGGCGTGGTCCTCATCAGTCT